TGTGGGTGTTTAACCCATTGTCTGTCTCTCTGGTTTCACACAGCGGCTTTGATGAAGTCAGCCCAGTAGAGTGGTTGAAAATTCCTTAAAAAAAAAAAAAAAAAAAAAAAAATGAGCATGCAGGTTAAATGCTGGAACAAAGATCGTACGTGCTAAATTTGTATTCAGATGGTGGTGGATGAGATGATGCAAGAAATGCAAGAACCAGTCCAGAATAAGCAATTTTTTATGTTTTTTACCTGTGCACCCAGGGTGGGGGGAAGTCAGAAATGTGGAGGTTGTACAGAAATGAACCATTGCTGATGTACAGTTTTATTTCATGGCAACAGCATCGCAGGCCTTGGGTCAGATGTGTGAAACTATTTCTCAAAGAAGCTGCATACATAATTGAGGCCCTATGAAGGGTTCTCAGTTGAAGTTGCCAGGCTACATTCATTTCAAAAGCAGAGCCATTTGTTATCAAATTTAAATTAACTCTGTCGCCACTGGATGCGTAGTTTAAAGAGCAGCTTTGCAGACCGTACTTGCTGCCTGAGGAAGGAGAAATGGTGTCTACTCCCTGACAGCAGTGCTATTTTGCAAAGGATGGAAATCTTACCTGTATTTAGGCCTTCAAAGCGATAACCTAAAAAGAAGGTTAATTTCTGAGGGATATCTGTATGCTTTCTTCTCTCTTAGAAGCCACAGTGGTCTTTTTTGTCCCATTAATTTCCTTCCCTTTTTTTTTAAAAAAAAAAAAAAAGTCATGATTTCAGCTTTAATTTGTGAATAAATTAGTAATTCAATATTTGCTGTTTTTCTGCAAGCACATTGTGGCCGCCTTCACCAACTTTTTTTATTTTATTTTATTTAAAATGGGGCTTCAAGTGTTTAATCATGTAGATTAGCAACTCAAGATATTTGTATTTTTCAGCCCCACACATGCTTACAGCAGCTGGGTAGCATCCTGTAACTTTTACTTGCATTAGTAATCCTTACATATGTAACGGCAATGTGACTTCTGTCACATTCAAGAATTACTAATGGGAAAAAATATTGCACTAATTATTATAATTTATTATTTATTTCCTTGAGCATCCCATATGCTGTGTGATTTCTGAGCAGAGGAGAGATGTTCTTGCCTCAGATAGCTCACAGGGCTGTTACAAGAAACACAGAGGGCTTGATGACGTCACCTCTTAAGTAGCAAGGGGCAAGTGATAAAAGTAAACACACAAAATCACAAACATCCCTTCATCACATTAATCTGCTTTCACTGGACTTGTGTCCTCCCTCTGTTCGCTTTTGGTAAATATTGTAGGAGTTGAGTGGCAATGGCAAGATATTTGTGGAAAGCAAATTTCATATCCTGGAAAGAAGTCTGTTAGAAAATCTTGGTGACCTTTCTTGATGGAGATGTTGGACAATCCTGATCTCATCAGGAACATATGTGTACTTGAAGGTAAGGTGCTTTGGCCCAGATCATTAAGGGTCATTCCCTAACCCTTGATAAAATCAACCACCTCCGCAGGTAGATAGAGTGATCACTCAATACTCTATAGACTTAGTTCTGAAAATAAAAGAATGGGTACATAGTTTATGGCTTCTCCAGCCAAAGACAACTGATGAGTTCATTGCAGGTTTTGAATACTGGTGATTAAGTCATAGAATACGAAAAAAAATAACCCCAAACCTACCTTGCAATCTGCTCACAGATATGACAAGAGATGAAAAAATGGCTACATTTATCAAATAAATTATTCATCATGAATTATTTGCTCTGTCTAGCCTTAAATTAGGTTTACTCAAGCTAATCAGCAAAGATATGCCAACAATTAAACGCAGTAGAACATCCCAGTCATACATGTAGTGCATATGTGCCTGAATTCATCATCATACAGTTTAGGTGTTTTGACCAAGAAAAGAAAGATGCACCTACTTTTCTAAACTCTCTATGAAAAATAAAAGAAATACTGTATTTCAGTAAATTCTCTTTCAAAGTATTAAAGGTTTGTGTTTTTAGAGCTTTTAGACCTGAATTTTTTATTCAATTTAATTTGACATTTCTGTTTTCATTTATCTAGTAAATTGGAGTTCCTAGATAAGACTTTTTCTATTGGGAATCTTAATATACTATGCTAAATATAGCATTCTTTGTGCTTTTACTTTTTGAAACACAAGCCTAGGGCATTTAATCTACATCTCTTCATCAACAGAAAATGCTGATTTATTAGTCTTAAATCAAGCCTGTTACAGCTGTTGACAGATGTGCTGTTAAGACTGAATTTCATCTTGGTAGTCTCTGGGTTAAGAAAATACTTTGTTTAGTAAAGACGATGAGAATACCACTGCACACTGTGCTGCCACATTAAAATGACATTTCCCCATAAAAATGAACAAACTACCTTTTACTGTACTTGTTTGCATAGACATAACTCGTTTGTTTAAGCAGTTAGTAGGTGACTACCCCAAGTTGCCTGCCACATTAGAGAATGATCCCTTACATATTCTACAAATGTTTTCTGAAAAACAAGAAGCAAAGATAGATTGAATTAAAAAATTAGGAAAGTTACACAGCATAATATTTACCCTTTGATTTTTCTAAAGGAAGATATATCACATGTGCGTGCCCCTACACATCCCTGCATATTATTCTAAAACTACAAACCATTTGCTTATTTAAAGCCCTGTACAGCTAACAACACTACAGAGCTAGTAAATCCTGCCAAGCGCTCTTTGAGAATCTTGTTTATTTACTGGTGGAAGTGATGGACCACACTTGTGTATCCATGACAACACTGCAACATGCTGAAGCACGACTGGGTCTTTTCTTGCTCCTGCAATACGAGATTAAAAGTAAGAGGCTAAATCTTATTAAATAGCAGAAGCTTTTCAAAAGATAAAACATAAAGTTTATGGGAGCATATGATAGTTGTTCATGGTAATATATTTCTGCTATTTCAATGCTTTCATTAGGTTCCTCCATTGATTGTAAATAGTACTGAATGGTGAACATACCAGAAAAGATAAAACTTTTCAGTTCCTCCTGGAGTTTGTAAAACAGCAAAGTGAAGCAGCGTCAATTCAGCGTCAAGACTGAATTGTTAAGAATACCCATTTCAAAGACTATTAAATTAGATCATGTTGTAATTTTTATATTTTCTTGAAAGTGTTAGAGGTTCTTTACTATTCTTCATTCTCAAGCCAAATGATTTGATTAAGAATGTTATATGATCCAGTGGATTAGTAATGTAATTGCCTATTTATATTTATAAATCCATGCATTCTCTCAGAGCATTTGTGTTTGCTGTGCATTGATATGTTGGACAGATATGATTGAGATGCAAATTATATGTATGTGGTGGAACTTAGACATAAAATGAAAATTAAATTCTTTATAAGCCATTGTTTTTCTTACTGTTATTCTTGATTATGTTACCACTGCCTTGACAAAGGTTGTGCATTTTTAAAATTTAGAAAAGAACCTTGAAAAGTTAAATCAAATTAATTTTGTGCAAGCAAATCTATGCAATAAAGGAAGAGTTTCTTAGCTAGCAGCAGTCTGCAGAACAATATCTATCTTCTTCTAATATTTTATTAAATAACAGTAGGCCAAATTCTAGCATAGCTTTCTCAGCATTCATAGGTATAAATGGCAAAAGATTTTGATTCAGTACATCAGATGTCCTCCAAATATATTGTATCTTCCAGAGACATTAGTGTATAAGTTAGTGTCTAAAGTAGAAGGCTAATATGTTACATATATTCTGATCACAGGATAAAGAAACTTTCGATTTGATATTGTGTTACTTGAATCCATCAGTTTATTCACTAAAAATAGAAATGAAGTCCTGACACAATAAGTAAACCTTAGCTGAGACTAGCCCATCTCTGTGCATCAAAAAATTAGGATCAGGGTATGGCAGCTCCAGAAATGATGCAGAAAACAACCTTTGGAGTGCATGGAGTAACTTCTTACTGGTTTTCAGAATAACAGCAAAATACATTTTTTTTTTTTTTTAAAGGGTAAGAATAATAATTAAATTATTTCTGTGATTTTGTTTTGTTTTGTTTTCTCATTTCCTGTCCCATTCTCAACATTATAATTTGTCATGTCTGCACAAAACAAAATAACAGTTGCTTGTTGAACAGCTGCTTCTGCAGGTACCTGCTCCTCAGCTAGAAGAGACACACAGCTTTTTGTCTCCTATTGACTGATTTTGATTATCATACTTTAGGGTGAGAGAGGATTGCTTACATACCTGCTGTTCAGGTGTGTGTCTATGTATAGACATAAATGAAGCTGTGAATTTGGCTGTGCAGGATATAGTTTTTCTTATTGCTGTCTGGGTTAGTATTTACTCAGTCTATGAGGTCAGGACGAGCCTTGTGATAATGGAACCTAAGTGACAATGATTTGCATTTTCAGCAGAGAAAGGAGTGGAAGATGGGACGATTTATCTGACAGACAGGATAAATGCTATTCTTAGGCTAACTTAACTGTGTGGCATCTTTGGTATTAGAAAAATAATATTTTTCAGGATTCCAGCTTTGGTATTAGTGTCAAATTTCCATCCAAACAATGGTACTGAAACTCCCCATTCTGATATCTTTCTCCTTTCTTAGGTCAGACTTTGTAGACCATCACTGTTCTGCCTTTTCAAAATATTCCTACGATGCTGTTTACAAAAATGTCAGAGAAAACTCTTAAAAACAAAGCAAAAATAAATACCTGGTCAAAGCAGAGGTCTCTGTCTTTCCCACAACACAAGGAGATAGGAATTGGATCAAGCCCCTTTAGAGAGTGTTGGTCACTCTTGTATTAGCATGTAAAAAATTCATACAATAGTGTAAGTTTCACAAACAAGTAGATTCACTAATCATCCACTTCTGATGGTCCAGTCCGACTTGCTGTTAAGAGCAACCTGATAATACTATTGGGAAATTTCCCTCCTTTATGCTGATTGACCAGAATTTATCCAGACAGAAGAGACTCTGAGTGATTTATTTTATTTTTACAGTTAGAGAGGAGTCTGTCTTTTTTGGGGACTGCAGGGAAGAACACTATACCTGTTGCCACTTAGAGGCAGGTAAGGAAAATTGCAACGTGCCAGTGATCTAACTGGAGATAATAATAAGTCCTACCCACCACTTCAGTAAGGTCCCTTACTGGAGTTTGTTTAGGCTGCATAAAAAGCAAATTAATCCTCCAAGCACAAGTGTTGTTTTGGATTTCCTAGCTCTTCATGCAGAGATCATTTTAAACATTCAGAGATGGCGAGGAGTAGGTTGGCCAGCGTGATCATCAACCCTTGAAGGGTTTTCTTTCAGGTATTCTTACATCTAATCTGGGAAAATGCGTCTTTTGGCTCCAGTGGATTTGAGATTTTGGTTAAACAAGAGTACAGATCTTGTGCTTTAAGATTACTGGCAGGTTGGAGAGAAAACAGCTGAACAAGGCAGAGGTTGTTAAGTAAACTGGCAGCGAGTTTCCAACGAGTGGCTATGATGATATCTGCTTTCCTAATTTTTCTTTCACTTTAATAGACATGTGTAGCTTTTTGTTATTTGGTACAGAGTGTGCAGTTCCAATGCAGTAGCATTTTGGAGAATTCTTTCTTTCCTATTGCTGAGCTGGGATATTTTAATATCTTTTACAGCATGGATGAATTTTCCAGAATACTTCTGCTCACCCTACAGATATATGTTGTTTTATTTTCAGCAATGTTTGTCTAAATATACTTAATTGTTTAGCAAGTTCAGCTGCAGGAAGGCTTGATTTTATCAGCTATATTTATGGGTGCTGAAATCAGATATCCTGTGTTTGCACAATGTTAGCAAATGATAGTTCGTAGATGTTAGTAATCAACAGTAGATTGAGATGCAGTCAGGAAACCCATCAAAAAGCAGGCCGCAGATTAAGGGAGGAGTGAAATATGTTGCAAACTGATTTAAAATAGACACCTCAAAATTACTTTTTGAAAATGAAACATATTTCAAGAAAAGATAGCATGGTATGGAATGTATATGAAATTTGAGGCCAAATTCCTGAAAACAGGCATATCGACATTCATGCCAAAGCAATCTTCTCGCAGCTCTTCGAGTCTGCTCCCCACTTGAGACAGCACGTGCAGGAAAGGACTGTGGAGTGCAAAATCCAGTTTCGGGGTGCAGCTGTGAACATCACAGCCATGCACATCAGATACTAACTCACAGGGGGAGACACGTTAGCCTCAGCCTTAATTTCCACGTCTCCCGTTACCTGTCTTTGCTTCACCAGTGATTGTCAGTCCACAGCATCGTGCTGCTTTGTGCAGCGCCCAGGGAAGGTGCCTGCTCATCTTGGCCCTGGGCACGCTTTGCCTGAGATGGACAGCTTTGTTTTCCAGGGTGCTAAAACACTTCAGCAGCGCGGAGCCACGGTCTTCCAGGATCTGCATCAAATGTCCAGCAGCTATTCTATTGAAAATTGATTAATTTATTATCCATCAAAAAAAAAAAAAAAATTACTTACTGAAATAGTATATTGATATTACATTAAAAAGTCAAATAAATATCTTAAAGAGTTATTTGCAACATATTTCCACATATAGACACACGTAAGTAAGGAGCAGTTTTAGGGATCACAGTCCAAATGCAGGAATGAGGGAAAGTTGAGCTGTTCTGTACATATAATACTCTACATTTTCCTTGTATTGTCTAAAAGTGAGGCGGTGCAGTGAGCTGTGACAAAGATAAAGAAGTGGGTGATAAACATTTATTATTGAGTAGTGATGTGAACAAAGTTTAGAAAAGAATAATTATAGAAAGAACTTGCATGGCTTACAGTTCTCTCATCACCAAAATATTTTTACTGTTTGTTTCCTCCGTATGCCAGCCACCAGGGTGGCTGAGCAATAATAATTTGTAAATAGTGGAATTTCTCACTCTTATCAAGTATGTTAGAGTGACTTATGAAAGCTTTACTCAAATGCATCATATTGACAAGGTTCAGTGTCATCATTTGTTATTCACTGGAAAATATAGTTAATAAACAAAAAATGTGGTAAATTATGCATATTATTTTGTTTGATAACATCCCATTAAATTGTTTTAAAAGCTGTCAGCTGATATGTTCAAAAGGCAAGAGAACAAAACAAATGTATTTCCCAGAGTCCAGATGTTAATTTAGCTGTTGCTTGTATGCACATCTGTAGCATTTACATAGCAAGAAAACATCAAAGAATTTTAAAACTTGGCTTATTAGTTGCAATTATACAGTTGTAGGTCTAGAACAAGTATAAAATCTCATATTAACAAGGAAATATATAAAACAGTGATTTTCATCTTGTATTTTGTTTATGGGATGATGTTACTGAATCTGCTAGACCGAGTCAGTGATCACTTTTCAAAACTGGAAGTGGTTTAAAGAGGATTTTGTTGAAAATGGCTCTGCTGCTGACATCATTGACTAGAAACATAAGTCACAAAATGGTACGATAAATCGAGTTGTCCTTATTAGCGCTGGGCACAAACTAGACTGCTAGCAATAGGTAAATTGTAAAAAGATTTGATTCAGATAATCATCCAAAATGTCCAGACTGTGGATTATGAAAGAGGCTTCCAGGGCATCTAAAAACAACCAAAGTTTGATTGAAGCAGTTGTTTTCATTGGTAAAGGTTCTGATGTGCTTGGCCAAAGTTTATCTTTGACATAAATGTACTGAAAATGCAGTGTCATTATACACATTTTGGACCATGTTATTCTCATAGCTGACTATTGAGGAGATAATCATAGGCAAAGGTAGAAGGCAATGAATTGGGGTTGTCCTGACTGACTAAGCATGTCAGAAAAGAAGGAGCTAATAGCAGCTGTAAACAGTGCTGCTCAAAACAGAGCGGGGCAGGATGTCTGATTCACAAATGTGTTTGTTCCTTTTCCTTTTCCTTTTCCTTTTCCTTTTCCTTTTCCTTTTCCTTTTCCTTTTCCTTTTCCTTTTCCTTTTCCTTTTCCTTTTCCTTTTCCTTTTCCTTTTCCTTTTCCTTTTCCTTTTCCTTTTCCTTTTCCTTTTCCTTTTCCTTTTCCTTTTCCTTTTCCTTTTCCTTTTCCTTTTCCTTTTCCTTTTCCTTTTCCTTTTCCATTTCTTTTTCCTTTTCCTCTTTTCCCTTTCCTCTTTTCCTCTTCCTCTTCCTCTTCCTCTTCATCTTCCTCTTCCTCTTCCTCTTTCTTTCATCATTTCCCTTTCACATTTTGTAAGGGTGGTTACAGGAAAAATTTCTAAGTGCTTTGCTATAATTTTTAATTTGGCTGATGGTATTTACAGAATTCATTACAGAAGGATAAGGATGTGATTCACCAATCAGGATACAGGAAATTTTAGTTAATTTTCCCATATTAATTGTATTACTTAAAAGTGATAGGAGACAGTGTATTAATTTAGTTGCCTAAAATTAGGCAGCTAAACCCATCTCAGATCATTTATAACCAGTCTAATTTTTAAATAAGTACCACTCACTTCCATTGGATTTATAGAGCACATTCATCAATTAGTATTGATGTTATTAACTCTGTGACCTATTTACTGAACCCTCATAAGAAAAAATTAGTCCTGACCTGTTCCTCTTATGAGACTGCTTGTGTTCTTAATCAGTTTAATTAATATGGACACTGTCACTAATAAAGCTACTCTAAAGTGACAAATTGCTTTATTTGCAAGTTTTCTGAATGTATTCTGAATACCAGCCCAAGTCATGCTATTTTACAATACCAAATCTAAAATACAATGAATTATAAAGCTTGTAGAATATATCCAACTCACTGATTAACTTCTAAAGAATCAATACATCACCTGGGGACTGCAAGGCCCAACATCACCCCTTGAAGAAGCTCAGTGAAGTAGTTAATGATGTTGGTATATATAAACATGCATGCACACTCTTGTGCTTACAGCTGTGACTTGGTCTAAGTTCAGTGGAGTTTTTCTTTATTTACCTCCCTCTGACTTGCCTTCACAGTTATGTGATATGAAGATGTTATTTGCATTAGTCTGAAAATAAGTATGAGGCTAATCAAATGTATAAAACTTTGTCTCTCAGACTCACAGCTTGGAAGGTACTGAGCCCCCCGGGGCTGTCTTCACGTTCCATATTGGGGCACATTGTCTTCTGCAGCATCAAGTTCAAAACACTTCCCTGTAAGACACTGCATGCTTCAGTAATCTACATACTTGCTGGCCATTTTTTCAAGCTGTATGAAAGCACTACATACACATGGTCTATTCAAGCAGCACATGATATGTCTATTTAAAGAAATTGTTTTGCTCTATACCTGCCCATAGAAGTAAATTACAGCTACTTTTTTTTCTATACCGTGTTCTTAAATATAATTATATCTCTTTATTTTTTATAGGGGAAATTAAGTTTCGGACTGATTCTTGACTCTTGATGTACATTTAGCAGGAGGCCAAGACGAATCAGAATAAACATCCAGAAGAAAATGCCAAATACAAGAACAGCAACTTAATATGATTTAAAACCAATAAAGTGGTTGAGGTTAGTGGAAACAATCCTTGATCTTTTCTTCTAAATTAAAAACAATTTTATAATACATTATGGCTGGTGTAGCTCCTTCCAACTACGGCTATCCATCACAGCCTGGAAGGAAACACTGCTTTTTCTCCATATCATGGCAGCCAAGTTGTTGAAGAAAGCTTGTGTCAAAGGACAGAGGGCAATGAAGATCTACATGCTCTGTTCAAGAGCCTGTTCCTGCCATTTTCTACAATTTCCTTTATGTTCTTTCATTGAAGCAACAGGTACCAGCTCTTTCTCTAACATGTACTGCAGTGCAGCCATCCTATCAATCCACAACTTCAAAGTGGTTTTGGGTCCTGGGATGCAACACTTGAACTTCAGCCATGCCTAGAAGAATGGGCAGAGCTGAGCAATGCAAATTGTCTTCCCAAACCACCTACAGAGAAAGCCCTGTGGTACCTGCCTCTTCCCTCCTCTCCTCTCCTCTCCTCACGTCTGGGTGTTTCATAACAAGAAGTCACAGCAGCTGAGGTGTGACCTCACATCTGACAGACATTTCATTATTTGAGCACTTCCTTTTCTCATCCACTGCCTGACCCATGGCTGCTCCGTTCCTGGCCCAGCAAATCTCAGTTATTTTATGCAGAATACAGATGCTGTGGACTGAAGGGGTTTCCCACCCTGGGACATTGAGTGCTTAGGTCACATCCTGAGGGGCTGCAGGAAGAGATAAGGCTCAGGGAGGTGAAGGTGTGATGTAAGAATGTGTTTCCCGTACTCTCACTGAATTATCAAAAGAAACATAGTGAAGAACTGTTGGGAGGTACCTCTGACTCCATCATTGTTTTCTGTCATGTTCAGTCCAGCAGGTGTTTTCTTGATGATCTCATGAGATGGTAGAAGGTGAGAAATCCCAACAGGCTACAGATCACAGAATGGTTTGGAAGCGAGCTTTAAAGGTCACATAGTCCAACCCCCTGTACAATGAACAGAGACATTTTCCACTAGATCAGGTTGCTCAGAGACCTGTCCAGCCTGACCTTGAATGTTTCCAGGGATGGGGCATCTACCACCTCTCTGGGAAACGTGCTCCACTCTTTCACTACTCTCATCATAAAAAAAAAATATTCTTATGTCTAGTCTAAATCTACCTTCTTCTAATTTAAAACAATTACCCCTTGTCCTATCTTTACAGAACCTAATAAAAAGCCTGTCCCCATCTTTCTTATAAACCTCCCTTAAGTATTAAATGATGTGAAAGGAACCCTTGGCTGTGCTGCTGTAGAATCTGTTGAGAACAGACATGATAAGTACCTTCAGGGTTTGATGAGAAGCACCAAATTTTAACTGTTCTCCTACTTAGGCATTTTAAGACATCTTACCTAATGTGTTTCTCAATTAGTTGCCTCTGAAGTAATGATCTCAATATTACTATAATGTCAGCGCTGTAAAGAACATTTAACTATACCATATCTTCAAATGGAGAATAAAATTTAAAGAATTATTTATATTGAGTTAACAAAATGATCCCCAAAATATATTTAAACTTCCATTTAGCTCATCTGATGTTTAAACTAAGGTGGCAGGCATTTACGTTCACACATCTGCTGCTTAATCTTTTCAACACAATCATCATCATCGTCGTCTCACAAGAACACAATTACTCTTTATGTAATGTATAAATTTAAATACAGTCTGCAATGGCATTTTAACAACTGCTGGGTAGTAAATGCTTATTTTCAATAGCCTGTTTTAAATGATGTTAGCAAGTAAGTATACATTGTGTAAGGATGAGAATTGTTATTTTACAGGATACAGGTGTTAGTGAAAACCCAAAGAAAATTGCTGTCAATTTATCATAGAACTAAAATCTAAACCTATCAGACCTTAGCTGACTTTATATTCTGTAATGAGCAAGGAGATTAGGTGGGACTCACTGACATTTGCAGATATCAGCTTCATTGATTTATTGTTTCAGATGGAAATCGCACAAAGCTTGTGACTTCTGGCATCAAGATAAACTTAAAAGTTTTGGCTCAGTTCTCTTTTTAAATTCTTTCACTAAAAGTGTGAAAATTTAAAGATTGGAAACGGTGTGTCAGAAACATGCATAAATCAAGAACAGTTCTACAGATCAGTCCTTCCAAAAACCAAGTCCGTTGCAAATGGGGCTGATGAGTATCCACAGCTATGCCATGTATAAAATGAGAAGCTTTTCAAATAGACCTTCCACAGACATGTTTGCAAGCACAGTGTATTAAAACTAACCACCAATTTTACTGTGACAGGTAAAAGATAGTTCTCTGTCACATGTTTAACTATGGCTTGCCACTATTCAGGGGCTTTCTTTTTAAAAAAGCACCATGATGTGTAAAACGGTGCTGTTCCTTGTAGGTAGCTGGCACCTCTCACCATTTGCAGCAGTGCAGCCTTTCTACGCTCCTGTGCTAGGGGAACCAAGGACAGCATGCTTTGCAGTGGGACAGTCTATAAAGAAGAAGTACATCCTGCCATCCAACTGATAACGACTGGCTGGTAACAAGACAAATCCTACACCATCTACCTGTTGTCTACTCTTCACTGGAACTGTGTAAAGTTACTGAAAAGTCATCCAGTTTGAGGACCGTGCATTTGATTTTCTGTCCTTGCTAAAGCAAAACATCACCAGATGCTTGGGATGGGATAAACCTGCGTTGCAACTGTGTAAGGTGGGAAGGAAGAACATTTTCCATCAAAATCCTGCTAGTAGGGAAGTGCAGCTGTTTGCTCCCAGATCTTAATGGAAAATTAGAAAAAGTAAATTATGGGACTATCAATGCTGTGTGAAATAATGAAAGATCACGGGAGAACAGATACTGATTTCACTTTCACTATCTGGATTAGAGGAATGTTCCTCTTGCCTCCTTTTCCTGTGGGATTGATAGGTGTGAGGTACAATGCTGAGCAGCCAAGAAAGACTTAAGAAGTCAGAGCAGTTTTGGTGAGGGTCCCAGCAGAACCCAGTTTTAACTGGACTTGAAGGGAACTGCAATTATCGCCTTGAACCTTCAGTAGGCAGTACCAGATATGTCATTAAGAAGGTTCCACTAATAGTGAGGTATCCCTGCTCTGTGGAGCATCCTCCATAGAAATCATCCCCCTAAGGCTGCAAGATCTGCTGCTTGAACTCCTGGTCATTGGCTACCTCCTGCTAAAAAGGAGATAATAAACCTCAAATCGATGTACTTGATCTGTGTTGAAACTTACATGATATTCCACCAACGCTGTGAAAGAGGAGATTAGTTCTGTAAAAGCTACTGTATCATTTCATGGGGACATTTCCCATTGCTGAAGTATATTTGAATTAAATTAATTTCTGAATAAAAAATTAACTGGAGAATGTAATGGATGACACCAGGATAAAAGTTTGGAATTCTGAATTCTCTTGGGTTTTTTTTTTTGGTTTTTTTTTTTTTTTTTTTTTTTGTAAAAAAAAACCATGTATGAAAGTGTAGTTTACTTCCACCCTCTCTTGTATACCTTTTTTGTTAAGTATCTATATGAATGACTACCTATGAAAATGTTAATGTGATTATCACCACCACCAGAAAATGTTTTTTACATCTTAAACCAATTCTTTTTTTCTTCGCTTCTCTTAATATCTGAAGTGGAAAGTGAGTGCAGAAAGATAACACCTTAGTCACAGATCATTTTGTTTGACTTCTGTGGGGAGGAGCAGTTTACTTTATGGTATTTATCTTGTAATAAGGAGTTAATGCTAACTTTGTTTTATTTTATTGTGTTTGTTTTGCAGATGAGGTATCTTAGCTGAATTCCATAAAAGCACTTAAGAGGGATTACTGAATACTGGGAAACACATCTGCAGTTCTGAATGGTTTGGAAACAAAATATGTTATCAACAAAAAGAAAACTTGGTCTTTATCTGCATCTTGGAATATTCTGAAGGCAGTAATTGTTGATAAACTGTACAGTGAGATGTGCAGTTTACGCTGCTTTGGGGGCAAGTAGAGTTTTGCTTTTTGGCAGCACGTGGCATAACAAAAGAATCCTTGAGAGGAGGTACCACCAGAATGTAAAATAAGTAAAAATCTGACCCTCAGTTTATTTCTAATTTTTCATCAAGGATTCATCAATCATCTCCAGCATCTGAGCAAGTGTAATAAGGCGTGTTTAGCAAATGCACTGTTTTTAGTGCATGCAATTTTGCAAGGTGTGTGCTTCTTCATTCTGGAGTACAAATTCTTGAATCCTGAAGCTAGAGCTGTGCGGGGAGAACCTGGAGAGTGCTCACAGACTGCTAATTTAAGTGCACCTCCAGGATATGCATTAACTTGTGCACTAACCAATGCAGTGGACGGAGTACTTCAAGGAGGAGGAGCAAGTGGAAGATGAAAAAGATTCAAAATACTCTCAAGATGCATGCACAACCACTTCACCAAAATATTAATTTATTTGATTGTTTACTGACTTATTTATTTATTTATTTATTTTAGATGGTATTTAACAGTAACTTTTACTTGGGCCCTTTCATTACGTACCTATTGCACCATGTACAGGAAATGCAGCTCTTCTGTTGCATCGCTTACTTTCTGGATTGCTTACTTTCAGCACCATGGGCCCAGGTGGATAAATAAGTTAATAACACTGTTTCATCCTAAACATATGCAAACTTCAAAACCAGACTGATTTACAGCCAGCCATAATTTTGAAATGGAAGTCAAGAGAGAAAAGCTGTGATCAGTACCTAAAGCATAGGGTTTCCTATTTTATAATATTTATAAATTATCTTCAGATTAAAATCTGGTTTATTTCTATGCAATGTGGTTATGTATATCTCGTTCCTTAAGGTTTCTTAGAGAGCTATCTATTTTCATCAGACTCTATGAAATTACTGTTTTTTCAAAACTTCTTGCTTTATCCTTGTGTTTCTTATGCTTGGCAATAACATTATAGTTCTATATTAAACAAAAGACAAAATTAAATGAAAAAAACCTTTAAAACAGTGTCAAATAAAAAAATCAAATGTATTTTTATTGTTATTTTACATTAATTTTATAAGTATAGAGTTTAGCTTTTTAGAAATCATGTAGATCCCTTGCAGACAAAATCTTTGTTGAAATTGCATGAAACAAAGGTTATAAACCTGAGCTGTGATATTAGCTCTGTGTGTGTGTGTGTGGTAGTGAGTGACAGCCCCCAACCATTTTTCATGACGTCATGCTAGTTATTCAGAACACTTTTTCCACCAATACAGCTTAACATTTGATGTAATTTATGTACATGTCTTTCCCAATTTTCTAATAAAATAAACAGCTCATACTGCTTAAACACATCTCTTTGCTTGGACTTCTAATTAAAATCTTTGAATTCTTTTAAATTCCCATTTCTAGGGCTTTCAGGAAGTTGAGCTGAAGAAAAAGCTTCTCTTTTTGATCTTGACCTATTTTAATCTGGGTATTAAGATGACGGGTAAAGTCTAAAGCTCTGTGCAGCACCATCCTGTAGAGATAGAAGAATTTAAAATAGCACAGCACTACTTAATTTTAAATAAAGTTTTTTAAAATATTTGCGACCACACAATATACAAACACAACACGTTCATCACTGGTTGAAGTATAAATGGCTTTGAGAGCTGTGAATTTATTTGTCTATTACAACTGTTTTGGAAAGAGTGTTCAAGCCTACATGGTGGCAATGGTGGAGTACGAGGTGCTTTTGGCATCACTTCTTCACAGCCAGTGCAGAACTAAACTCTGTTCAGTGCTCATTTCAGAGTGAAGTGAAGCAGCACAGGCTTCCAGTGAATATCAGTCCTGACAGCCTTGCTTTCTTACCCTTAAATTAGTGAGTGGAATTAACGGTTGGTGCACTGAGCAAAGTGCATTTCGCTGCAGGTCCAGCTACAATTCCATGGAAAGGACTCTCAGGGGTATCAGACAAACTGCAGATCAGAGTCAGAAAAAGAGGAAAACCTGTCCATGGACAGCCATCCTACTCCCCACTAACTCAGAGTCTTTTCCCTGATCTCTAAATGCTTGAGCTAATACCAACACAGTGCTGGGCAAGGAATAAACTGTGCTGGCTAGAGGGCTGCTGAGTCTTGCTTCCACTCTGAAGAGAGAAAGGCAAGGACCAAACTGTGACTCTAATATATACTGCCTCTTCAGAGCATCTTTCATGGGAACTCATTTAACTGCTTGCTTAGGAATAATTCATGGGATAAGTGAATCTGGCTCCAGATTTGTAATGGATATTGCACAACAGAAAGCAAAAAGGCAAAGAGCACAAAATTTAGACTTTAAGTGTATGCATACAGTAAGAGTATTTGAGGGCAAAATTAGTCCCACTTTAATTAAAAGAAAGACAGAAGGCAAACATCTATGGATCTACATCAATCAACCTACAGGGAGGGTGAAGACAATGCCATCAATATCAATGTACAATTATTTATCTTTAGAACCTACTTCCATTTCATGCCACTCTGCCATATGAGTCAGCCCAAAACCACTCATTTTTTTTTATTTTCAGTATTATTTTCATCTCTGTGCCAGTGGATTGAAGAGTTAATAAAATTTCACTGCAACAAGATGTTATTTCACAACGACACACAGAAATTTGAAGTGGGAATGGAATGAATGCCAAGGAGGTGTTTAATGACGTGGCCTTCTGGATGTAGTCTTTGAAGAACATTTGCAGAATTGTTCTATTGCTTTAGAGCATCCAGGAAACAATAAACCCAACACAGCACTAGTGTTGACTTTCACAGCTGCTTTCAGCTCAGATGTCACCATTACACTTGGAATGGAGCAGATCCTCCTGGAAAATATGCTAAGGCACATGGAAAATAAGATGGTGATTGGTGACAGTGAACATGGTTTCACTAAGGGAAAATCATGCCTGAAAAATTTGGGGACCTTCTATGGCAGGGTTACAGCATTGGTGGTCCCTCTGCTCTGCTCTGGGGAGCCCCCCCTGCAGTGCTGGGGCCAGCTCGGGGGCCCCCAACAGCAGAAGGACCCGGAGCTGCTCGAGCGGGGCCAGAGGAGGCCACGGAGATGCTGGGGGGGCTGGAGCAGCTCCCCTGGGGGGCCGGGCTGAGAGAGTTGGGGGGGTTCAGCCTGGAGAAGAGAAGGCTCCGGGGGGACCCTGAGAGTGGCCTCCCGGGGCTTAAAGGGGGGACAGGAGAGGGGGGGGGACGACTCTGGGTCAGGGGGTGTGGGGATAGGATAAGGGCTAACAGTTTTAAACTGGCAGAGGGGCAAATGTAGATGAGATCTAAGGCAGAAATTGTTCCTTGTGCAGAGGGTGAGGCATTGGCCCCGGGTGCCCAGAGCAGCTGTGGGTGCCCCCTCCCTGGAAGGGTTCAAGGCCAGGTTGGACGGGGCTGGGAGCCCCCTGGGCTGGGGGAAGGGGGCCCTGCCCGGGGCAGGGGGGTGGCACTGGGGGGGCTTTAAGGTCCCTTCCAACCCAAAAAGTCCTGTGATTCTATGAATTACAAATAAATGTGATACTGAATTATGTGATAACATTGAATTGTTCCTGTGTATCTTGCATAGCAAAATGCTCAGGAGAATGGAAGTTCCTTCAGCCTAAACTTTAAGAAGGTAAGTCTTGAATCTACTTATTCATATTAAAACAATTGCAGTCTTCACCAGTCTTAAGACTGGTGAACAAGTTGTGTTTAAACAGTACAGAACTGCAGCTTAATCACAACTCACACCAGCTAGATCTTTACAGTTTTGTCTTCTGACAGCAACCATAGAAGAATATACATAGAAACTGTCAATATTACATGTATTGATTTTATTTAAAAGAAACAGGCTAGTGTAACTGGCTTTGTATGTCAATGTGTAAACTCCAGTGCCCACTACTCAAAGACAGTGTTCAACTCATCTTCTAAATCTCAGCACGCAATGTACAGAATTCAATCTTTGGCCCAACTATTCTTGGAAGAACAAGAAATCATAGATATCTAACAGCATTGGAATTGACTATGATGCTGGAAGGAATGTGGTTTTATGACAATCTTGTTGCCATCAATGGGTACGAATCAATTCAGATATACTACATAGCAGTGGAAAAGTAAGTGATGCTAGTTCTCTTATTTTTTTTTTTTATTAGTATGTCCAATTAATAACATTCTTTAATTGCTACTTGCCATTCTTCTTAATTTCCCATTACATTAATAAAAACAATACAATATAAACTCTGTTTTTCCTACATTCTTTATGATGCTTCATGATGTTATACTTTGAATTCAACATACAAATTCTGCAGGATGAGTAATGGAGGGAGGCAGACAAATTAGAGGGAATAAAGAATAAAAATAAAAGAATTTTAAAAGGGACTGTTAAAAAAGTAGCTTATGTGAATTAGTTTTGTCTCCTGCTTGATCCTGTGGTGAGACCATAGCGTTTGTGGTAGTTTTAAGGTTTTGATAGAGAAATGGTGAACATTGGTATTTGAACTGGGCAGGAGTCACCATCCACTGTCCCCCTTGACTCCACCAAAATCACAGATAAAGTGTTTCAGCCATCTATCTAGTACCTCCAGGTGAATTTCATCTACATTGTTAACTTAAAAAAAAATAACAGCCTAAATCCTCTCTAACCTGCTCTTTCCCTACAGTAGCTGAAATTTTGCCCTTTCAACATGACTGTTGGCCATGACAACTGACTTCAGCCAAGCAATGACTGAAAACCAAGAATAAATTAAACTCTTGCTGGAGCATCATTAGTATATCTTTCTTTCCCCTGAGCACTGAATCAATCCTTCCCTTTGTTTTCTGCCCCTGTTACTGCACTTACAGAACACTTTCCAGCTACTTTTTATGTCCCTGGTGACACCTGAACTGGCTTTGTGCCTTAAGGACATGACAACAGCTTCTAGTGAGTCATATCCAAGGTCCATGTGGCCTTTTCTCCTGCCTTCAACCAAGGACAATAGCAGGTATTTAGGAAATAACTTAAGAACTTGGGCAAGTGTGTATTAATTTTTTATCAGCATCTTGTAACCAAGGAACATCCTGAACAAGGGGTTACATGTTTGCATATAATAGCCCTGGGCAGACTTTTTTTTTTTCCACCAATGAATTTTCCCCACAATATAAAAGCATTTTTAGCATACGCAATACTCCTTAGTATGAATTTCCATAACAAAGCTGTGTACTGTCAAAAATAACATCACCAGTCTGTGATAATCCTACTGCCCATGAACCTATTCAATATATTCTTACTAATTTATATGATTTTTCTTTCTGATCTTTGATCCTCTCATGTTTTGTCAATTTATACTTTTCCTAGGATGTGTCGGATCTTATGCCTTTTTTATGTTTCTGTGTAGCAGAGTTAATCCAACTGAAGCTCTCTTTGGGATGTAGACACCATTAGACTTCACATGCTCCCTTGTGAAATGGTTTGGGTTTGATGAGGTAGCATCTTCTGACTCTTTCCTCTTCTCCTACAATCCTGAGTGAAAAAGGAAAGTTGGGAAAATTAACTGCATCTATAATTGTAATTCAACACTGAAACAACCACCTTAATTTCACCTTGACAGTTATCTCCATGTAGAGTAGATGTCATCTGCTTTGTAATCAGAATTAGAGGATTTTGCAATCAGCTTGCGTTTTGTAAATCACTGCTGAAGCCACAAGACAAGAAAACTATACCTCGTGCAAGTGAGGGCACTGGGTTCAGAACAGATGCCTTGAATAAACTTAAAGATGCCAGCTCGGGGTTTGCACCAAGGAGCTCAACATAAATTCATTTACCCAGCGAATAAATAAATTATTCGATATCTAGCTCCATGACGCCACAAGAAGACATCTGTGAGCAGGGAGCCAGTTATGTGATGCCAGCTCACTGAGCAGGGGCTGAAGTGAAGGTGTATTTGGGGAATCAGACCCAGCTGTAGCCATCAGCCAGAGCACAGAGATTTCACAGGGGACCTCTGTAGGTGGACACAGATGTTTCCCAGTCACAGGATTTCCCTGAACACCCTGGAAGGAGGAAAAAAAAAAAAAAAAAAAAAAAAAAAAATGCAAGCAAATCCCAAAACTGCATGTCTTTTCTCCATTGATCCAAATCATGTATTCTTCACATAAATAACTGTTTCCTTTTTATTATTCATTCCAGCTGAGTGGACTGCTTATCTGGCCGCATAAATATCTTCAATATAAGTGGATAAAAGCCACTTAGGCACATAACACGTACTTTGGAATGGAAAATGAAGGAAATTCCAGGAATAGTTTACAGGCAGAGGTGGTGCTCCTCTGGTTATCATTTGAAGAATAGTTATCTGTTTGGTTTTGCATTATGTCCTCTGACA